GATTTCTACAGAATAGTACTTAAAAATGTTCTGTAACCAGGCTTTTCTCCCTCCAGCTTCCCCACTACACACACATGCACAAGTATTCATCATTTCACCTCCTTCTCTCCAGTAAGCATACAGGACATTGGTGTCATCACCCCCATCTAGACAAAAAAATCTATCATCTGTATTCTGCACAAGGTCAACCCATCTGTTAGCGCACAGCAAGTCAGTTCATAGAAGTAAAAAATAATAGCAGAAGCATGGAGCCACTGATATCAGTGAATCATCAACTCACCTATTTGGTGTGTGTTGTACTAACTCATGTTATGAAATTTCAGACTGTGGATTGCTCGTGGAGCAAACAGCAAAGGAGAGGGGGGGTAGCAGTGGATATTTAGGATATTAGTGTAATTACAGATGGAAGAATATAATTGTTCCTTCCATGCATCTCTAGGAAAAGGCATACCAGTTAACCATAGAATTACAAAATCATAGAATCACAGAATGGTTTGGGTTGGAAGGGACCTTAAAGATCATCTCATTCCAACCCTGCTTCTGTGGGCAGGAACACTTTCCACTGGACCAGTTACAAACCCCCTGCTGTGGGGTGGACACGTTCCACTAGACCAGGTTGCTTAGAGCCCCATCCAACATGGCCTGGAACACTTCCAGGGGTGGAGCATCCACAGCTTCTCTGGGAAACCTGTTCCAGTGCCTCACCACTGCTATAGTAAAGACTTTTTAAGATCAAAAGTAAGTCAATCCTCCTTCAGCTTAAGGCCATTCATCCTTGTCCTATCACTACATGCCCTGCTAAAAAGTTCCTCTCCAGCCATTTTATAAGCCCCCTTTCAGTACTGGAAGACTGCTATGAGGCTTCTATATTTACCACTTGTTTCTCTGCCTGGGTTGGGAACTTCCTCATTTGAAATAAGAAATGTACATGAGCCTCTTGCATTTACTGTAAAAGTAAAGCTCTCACTAATAAGATGATACAATTACTTTCAGCTTTATCTAAATATTGCTGTTTATTACTTTTAAGGCAGATAGAATGTAATTTTTCACAGCACCAAGCACCATAGAAAAATTAATATATTCAAATCACAACTTGTGGTAACTCAAGATAAATGACTTCTTGATGACTGTTTTCATTGTTGGCGATGTCTTATTAAGCTGAAAATTGCTTAATTGATCAGATCCTCAAAATAATAAAGTAAACCCAGAGTGCTGAGACTTGGCAAGGAATAAACCACTGGAAGCAAGGTATTTATAGTCAGGAATGGACAATATTAGTAATGCATGGTGATAACCATCCCATCTATGCATTTTGGAATGTGATTTGATATCTTGAAAGAGAATTGTTGGTTTTGGAAAGCAAACTTATGCAAGGAGTACATCAGAAAGATGTTATCTCTTTAAGATTTTTGTATTTCTCCCCACCTCCTCAGAATTATGCAGACCGAGAAACTTTGAAACCAACCAAAACCCAAAAAACTACTGGACAAAAAAGTCAACTGACCCTGGAAATTTTTAAGTAAGTTTTAAGTGGGTGATTTTTTTGCTGTTGTTTGTAAGTAAGAGGGTACTTGGTTTTAGAAAATTAAAGCTGAAATATTCACATATTCAACTGGGAAAGAGGCTTTAAGAAATGCACCAGTCATTGTGAAAACTGTTGGCACTGGGGCCGTAATGTAGAGCCCCAACAGGATGTGTGTAGATCGCGTAGATGACGGCTGATGCATCTCTCAGAATAGCTGTTGTGAAGAACAGATGATTTGGTATTCACGTGCAGCTGTGTGTTGAAACACATTTTTGACATTTTGGAAAAGCCTTCAATATGGAGCAAAAACATTTGCAAACCATAACTGTCTGCTCCCTTTTCCCTATCTTTTTCAGCCTCGTGTAACCTAACGAGTTCCTCTTGGCTAAGGTGTTCTCCTACAGTGTTTGTACTGCAGTTCACCCAATGGGGCCTCATTCACAGCCTCATGGTGGGATGGTTATAATACCAACTATCATGGCTATTTGTGATGTTCACCTCTGGACATCGGCATAAAGACACCTGGTTTTGAACAGGACTAGTGGGATATATTTCTTACAGTCAGAGAGAGAGAAGTGCAGTCTATCAGGTGACTTCTTCACTTTCAGTTCCAAATGCAGTCTTGAAGTTCTGTCAATAGACTTAAGAACTTGGACTTAGGTTAGGTATTTTTAGTGCTAAGACTATTGGCAGCAGCTCTTCATACTTGGCACCTCAAAAGGAACAAGCCTGAAGGGTAAGGAAAGCTTATTGTTGGTGCCAGCAAAAAGTCAGCATTCAAGGAACAGGCTGGGGCAAGGATTCCCATGCCAATGTGTGCATGAGTCTGTAACTGCCTGATATCTGACAACGATATCTCCACCCTTGTCACACTCAAACATGTAGGAAATTATTTGCAAGACTAGAAAGAAAAGTCAAAGACAATTAAGGTAATTAATTCTCAACTACATTACAATTACAGCAAGTTACCAGATGATTTTTATTAGTAAGGGATGAACACACAACAGTAACAACAGAAAACAGTACCAGAAAAAAAATCTCTCTTTTAGTTAAAGGGCCATGAACATTGGTCAGTGTAATCCCAGGACAGTTTTTGTCTCCCCCATTTAATTAATTATTTGTGTAATTCTCCTATGAAATGTATTTACTCTCTCTCACATAGGTAACTGCACTCAGAATAAAGGCTTTACAATCTTTTCCATACCATGGCTGCCTACTGAATTTATCGCTGTGAAAAGGTGACTGACTCAGCTGCTGAACTGATTTGTCTTGTCAGTGGAGAACAGACTTGAATAGCTGCTGAGTCACAAACTGGCTTGCATAATTGGAAGGGTAAAACAAGCTTGTTGAGTGACTCAGTTTTCAATTTGATACTCATCTCATTCCCAAATGCACATGCACCTGTATTTTGAGACAGCAGGGATAGTTAATTACAGTTTGAATCATTTCAGTGGTACCCACGGAATGTCTCCTTCTGAAACATTCTGCTGTTCAATTCTCTCTCCTGTAACCCCTGGGGATCTGGCCAAGTGTTTCTTCCTTCACGCAGGGGAAAAAAAAAATCCGTGTTTTCCATCACTACTAAAACCAGTCACCCTTACTATCCTAACAAATTCCCCCACGGAGCTTAAATCAAAAGCACAGTATCAATACTTTTCACCCTTTTTAAGGGATTAATATTGCCCTATTTAAAGGACTTATCTATAAGCTATTTTCAATGGTAAGTTAGGCTTAGGAAAGAAGGTGGATCTTTTATATATGTGTAGACTTCCGGAAGGGTGGCATAGAAATCATAAGCCAAAATCTTGCTGCAGGTATAGGCATATTATTTTGACTGCTGTTTGTGGAAGAAAAAGTTGACCTTTTAGCTCAGAAGACTTGATGCTTAAGAGGAATTACATTGAGAGTTGTTTGTCTGATGCTCTATCAGCCAAAGAAACAGAGGTATGTAACTGTGCTTTAAGAAGATGCTAGCCATAACTCTGGAGAAAAAAAAAACTAGCTTGAAGACAGTCATCTACTTTATGGATGTCATTGTTTCCTTTATAAAACATATTAGGAAGTGCAATAGTCATTCTTCTGAGCACTGTATAGTATCCTACAAGCATTAGCTCTTTACAGCTGTACTAAGAAAGGAAAATACTGTCCTAGCCAAACAGAGCAGGATGTTTACACAAGTAGCAATGAGATCCCTTGCCAGAAGCCCCACGCTCACCTTGTGGCAGAGCAGGCTCCTTGCTGATACTTCACTATGCCCATCACCCAGCTCTGCCTCCAGCTCTCCATGAAGGTTTTTCACTGACTCAGCCCAGCACATCACCTCTAGGTGAGACTTGTTTATGACTGTAATGGTTTGATTTGGGTAAATTAGCCCTTTGGAAAATTTTAGTGTAGGTTAAGTTTCTGTTTCCTCCTACGTCCTTGAGCAGAGTCTGAACTGAGCCCACATTCACACTGACACATTTCTTGCCCTTCTCACACTGCATGCCTAGGAGCTCCTCTGAGAGCTGCATTTTGATTTGTACGCAGAGACAGTCATATCTTTAACACCAACAAGTTCTACTACTTCTGCAACAAATCTGAAAACTTCTACTTTCTTACTCAAACCAAAATGAAATTCTGTTTGCCCAGGATGAGCTGGGGGGAGGGGAAGGTGACTCCGAATTCACTTACTTGTACCAATATGCTCCATACAAACAACATGTTGTTCATTGGCCCTGATTATATCTTTTCAGCTGTTTGAATGCTTGAATGCAACCTTCATCTCAGAAATCCCACAGCTATTGGTTATTAGGGATCTGTCTGAAGACAAAGGTCACCTTCGACCTCTTTTTTACAGTTTTCTCCTGAATGTTATTAATGGCTTGTGAAAGAACACCCTTTGGGCTAAGACAGACCTTTGGCAGTAGTTTTTTTTCAAACAATGATACTCTAATGAAGGTACACTAGTGCAAAGTTTTTCTTACAGCTGTGTGGTACTACTGAGTTTGAATTACTCTGCCTGTATCTGGGTGTGAACCCCTGCTTCCCCAAGGTTTCAGGCATCAGAGTTGGGATTTTTGGATTAGCTCATTAGGAAGATGGGATAACAAGTCTGGTTGTGATTTGCAGTTGTGTACGTATCTGAGTTCTAGGGGCTAGTTTGGGCTTGTCTGTAGGATCTGGGAAGCATTTCATTAAAAATAAATGTTTTAACTGCCAAAGGCAGCTGCCAGAGCATTTGTATAATTAATTTCATTTGCTTTCTGGTTCTTATCTTAAGGGCATTGGCTAAAGGATACACATGGTCTATTCACTCACCTGGACACATGATCCTTATCACTGAATCTCAGAAAGGTTTAGGTTGGAAGCGACCTTAAAGATCATCCAGTTCCCACCCCCCTGCCATGGACAGGGACACCTTCTACTACACCAGGTTGCTCACAGCCACATCTAACTGGGCCTTGAACACTTCCAGGGATGGGGCATCCACAACTTCTCTGGGCAACCTGTTCCAGTGCCTCACAACCCTCACAGTAAAGAATTTCTTCCTAATATCTAATCTAAGCCTACACTCTTTCAGCTTAAAGCTATTCCCCCTTGTCCTATCACTACATGTCCTTATAAAAAGTTTAATTCTCCTCTACACTAGTAGCAAAATATCCCACTGCCTATCCTCCATGTAATGCTTCCTGTAGTTTTTAATATTGGGCCTGTCTCATTTGATGCTACGTTCAAACTTGCATTAACTTTATTGAAAGTGAAATTTGGCAAATAATTTTAAGTGTTATAGACTTGTAAAATAGCACACAGTTACTGTCTTCTGTATAGCATTCATGCCTAAGAAATTATTTAAGGGAGAAATTATTTAAGTAGAAAGATGGTTGTAGAGTCATAAGCCTTAGAGAAACAAAATATCTGTAAAAAAAAAAGGCAGAGACATGAAAAGACATGTAGTCTTTTGATGAAAAGAGAGAACTAGCACTCAGGGAATTTGGATGCAACTTCTAGTTAGATCAAGACTTGCTGTACACCTCTAGGCATTTTGACACTTTCTGTGATTTCTTTCCCATCTATAATACATGGGTAGCAATACACATAGCAGTATTTTAAAGTAATTGCTTGCAAATTGGTTTAGAGAGCCTGAAGTGGAACATAGTTTATAAATGTAATGCAATATCGTTATGGTTGTCACGTAAAAACCTAGCTTAGTCCATCAATTTAATTGTCACCAAAGTTACATGGGTCTGAAAGTATGGCAGGGTTTCTGATATTATTTAGAAAATCATCTTGCAAGTGAAATTTTGTCCTTCAACAACTGGCAAGTCTATTTTTTTTCATCCTCAGGGAATCGGATTCGGAAGATTTCCATATAGTACAAATCTGAAGACTGATGGGCGTATTACTGGGTGCGTAAGAGAATTTGGAGAGTGCTTGTTTTCATCTAATCAATCTGTCTTATCACTTGTAATATACTGCAAACACTTGTTAAACTGTTAAACTGCCCACTATAATTCTTTGACCAAGTCACAAACAGTCCGGATACACCTTAGCACCTACTAATTCCGTATCAGCTTGGCAAACTTCCCTGTCAGGCCACCAGCTGGTGCCAGGCAAGCGTGTTTTCTGTCTTCTGCTGACAGACAAAGTGTGGGTAGATTGCTCTACTCAGACACCTGAATGAAAACAGAGTTGTTTTCAAAGACAGCTACAAATGGTTGAAGTGCAGATATGTATCATTAGAAATAACAAATCTCTGGAAAATAAACTCAGTAGATCAGTAGCCAAGATTAAAATGAAATGTAGATGTGTTGCTGTGAGAATGTTGACTATGAAGAGCTGGCTTTGCTGTAGCAGATAATGAGCCTACCTTAGACACTGTTCATGCAGTAACAGGCACTGACTGGATGGTGAGTCTGGCTACTCTTGCACTGTGGTATGTAGGATATGGGACCTAAGGGCTTTCTGTTTAGAGGCATCTTTCAGCACCATCTTTGAGGCCTCTACAGCTGTTGATTTTGGACCACATTAGAATCACAGATTAGAAATACCTTAGGGAGTTATTTTCTCCAATATCCTCTCAAAGCAGAGTCAACATTGATTACTGACCAGGTATCTCTGGACCTTCGTCCAGCTGGGTCTTGAAAAACTCCAAGAATAGAGAGATTCCACAACTTCTTCAGGCAATCTCCTGTTCCAGTGCTTCATTGGGGATTTTTCCTTGATGTCCTATTGGAACCTGTCCTATCCCAATTTATGAGCATTGTTTCATATTCTCCAGCCATACACTTGGGCTGTATCAGTAATTTCCTCTTCAGTACATTAAGGCTGCTGTTAGGTCCCCTAAATCTTTTCTTCTGTGGCCTAAACAAGCCTGGTTCCTTCAGCCTCTTCTTACACTCCAACCCTCTGACCATCTTGGTGACTCCTGCTGGATTCACTCAAGTTCATCTACATCCTCATCATACTGGGAATCCCAAAACTGTTACTTTCTTACAAAAAGAAAGGAAAGGGAGCAAGAACTCTTCTTATGCCTCTAACCTACCTCTAGGCCATGTAGCTCTGCAACAATAGGGAGGGTTACTTGTCTGCTTACTCTTCATCAAGAGTAAGCAAAGTGTAAGGCAGCAGAGAGAACATCAGTAATGTTTCCAAATGTCACATGCATACATTCTCACTGACCAGAGGAGCCCCAGAGATAGACTGTGACTTTGAATTGTAAGAGTAGTTATGATCTTCTCTCTAACCCATAAGGGACTAAATCCTATGTGGAGAATCTGGTCAGAGAGAGAGAGAGAGGAATAGAGCCATATAGGTAACAGAATAAACTTCAGAAAACTGTGTATTCCAAGATGGCTGGAGATAGAAATACAGATCTGTCATCTATCTCAGTGTGTCTTTTGCCTACACCCCCCGCTTCTCCTTTCCATGTTTGCTGTAGGGTTTAAAGGACTGCACAGCATCAATTGAGTGGATGACCTGACCCCTTTGAGGAATGAAGGGGGAGAAAAAAAATCTCTGTAAAGAAGGATTATCTTAGATGTAATTAATTTAACTGTCACTAAAGCTGCAGATATGGCAAGATTTCAAACATCACTTTGAAAATTTTCTTGCCATGTCATATAATAGATATATTTTTCATCACAAATTGATGTGTCTATCTCCTGTCATCTTCAGGTAGTGAACATGTGAAATTTGATATGGAGGTATTCAGTGTTATTTAGAGTTAAATATAGACTAATTTTCTAGATGTTTTCTGTGTACTGATTATTGGTGAACTTTTAGCCAATTTGCTGTTGGATACTTCAGTGTATTAATTTTGCTTGTCTATTATTGAATTATTTTGTGAAGTTGTACTTCCTTTTAAATTCACACCAAACTGGTACTCACAACAATTATATATGCTATGGAGTTAGCATGAAATGTGAACAGTATTTTAAATTCTTATTTATGTAGGATCTTCTCTTGCGTCATTAAATGTTAGTTGGTTTTTTTTTTAATTCATCATGTTGCAAAAATTTATTCTGTAAGATGGAAATAGTGTTTAACAACCTTCCTATCAATGTATGTGTAACACTGCCATTGTTGGCTACCAGGTTTGCAGTAAAACCAGTGCTTCAAAGCCATGTAGCATAAGGGTGTGCAGCATTGTTTTCTGTGCTTGTTCCCTGTCTATGTACTATTTCTTGGGGGAAATTGCCTACTGGCCTTGGCCAAGAAGCAAAGTTTACGTTGTTAGGCATGGTAGGAATGCATATAGATGACAGATCTTTCCCAAAACAATTTGCTTTCAGTTAAAAAAGTGTGAATTAACTTCTCAAGATTAAAGGTACAGCTACCAGATTTACCTTACAATATTTTTAGTATGATATTAACAATAGATCTGTAATCTCTTGAAAATCTCACTATATCACTGTAATTGTTTATTAGCTTAATAAGAAACACGCACTTGGCTTGAATTTTGAAGAACTGATTTACCCCATCTGAAGCTGTAGTCTTATGTTTCAGTGTATTTTAATATTTTGTATTTCTTTAATATTTCTATAAATATTTAAGTACACTTTGACACATGTTAATAAGATTGAGGCTAAAAGAAAGCTCAGGAAATCATCTAATCCATTCCCCTACCTCAATTTAAAATCAGCTATACCTGAATTATTCCCAGTAGATATTTATCCAGCTTAAAACAGAGGCACAGCCAGATAGGTTGCATCACTGAAGCTGAGAGTACAAGGAAGAAATAAGAACTGAGTATCTATGCACAGTGCAGTCCTCCTTATCTGCCATAGTAACACATAACCTACACAGAGATGCAACTTGTAAGATGTATATACACATATAGATAGATAGTATTATTTAAAAAAACCCACATTTTCAGACCAAATAATTCTCTAGATTGACAAATTGGAATAGAGGCTGTGTGTTCTGGTTTTGGTTCACCTGCTGGGACTTCCCCATCAGTTTGCTCACTCAGTTATGAACTGAGCAAATGTAAAGGCCAGCATCTGATGCTTTCAGAGATCCAGAAGTTAAGGGTTCTGTGTAACAGTGTCAGTACCCAGCTCCATCCTGATGGATGCACATTAAATTAATTGGAAGCTGATAGTTGCTTGTCATGAAAAGATGATTGCACCCCTTGCTGATGATTGTACCCACTGCTGTCTCTGAGCACAGTGAGCCAGGCAAAGCTGGAAGCACCTAGGACTCACACAGGACTCCAGCAGATTTGGGTAAGTTTGATCTCTCTGTGTCCAACCACCCAGGCAGCTGAATCCATCAGAAAGCTAGTAGCTTTAAAAGATAGTGAAGGTATTCAGCTGCCCCTCTGCCTTACCCACTTTCATGTAGAGATGCTTCATGTACTGAAATACTCCCCAGTAAATGAGGAGACCTGTGGGCTTCTGTGGCATTACTGTACAGCTGTTCACTGCCCCCAGTACTTCCTGTCTTTGCATTTCTTAACAGTGAAGCTTGAAGTATGGCTGGAAAGAGCTGCCTCTTAGAATCCTGGTATACTTGCCACAGCCAACAGGCAGGTTTATTAAATAAAATATAAGCCTTCACTTTTCTCAGAAAGTTCTGCAAGGTGTTTGACAAATACCCCTCTACTTTGACATGTACCATTAATTTTTATTTTGGGTGGGGTTTTTTTCCTACCTAAAACACTGCCCTGTACCATGCAAACATTAACAGTAAGTTTGTTTTATTCTATGGAAATCTATCATGCTGTTCCTGTGTCCAGTACAACTTGCCTAGATACCATCCACCTTGCCATTCACAGAGGCAGCAATTGGTCATGACTGGGCTGTGAAATTCATTGCTTCCTGGATGTGTATTCCCGAATGATTCTTCACTCATCGTCAGCTAAACAAAAAGCTTTTCTTTTTCTTCTTAGATCTGTAACACATCAATACCATGCTACCCTTGGGAAGGTCTACCACAAGGCATTTGATCTAGCCACAAAACCACCTGAAAGGTTTCCACTTGTGCAGCATGCCTTTGGAGGAAGGCAATCCACATGGTACAGGAACAGCCGGTGCAGTTTGGGCAGGCTCCCCATCACTTTATGGATGTTATATTGCTTGTTGAAAACCACTGGCATCATGAATAAGGTGATCCATCAACATGGCTATGTAATATTTATGTTCATGCAATTCTAGGATGGAATTCTTGTATTTCATCAAAACTTGGTGGGTTTTAGAAAACAACTTTTTCTCTGAAAGACTAATTTGAAAAGGATCTCCAAAAAGCTATGGAAATGTTCTCATTTTCCAATGCCTCTCTTTGTGAAGGTCTATTTATTCTTTACCTCACTCTTCTAACCCATCTAAGGCTTTTAACTTCTGGGAAAAAAAACCTTTTTATTACCCCCCAGGTACTTCTCTCTTCACACCTAATATACAGCCTGGTCATTTTCTGCTCAGAGTAGTGCTGAGGCAAAAACAGGGCATGTACTTTTTGACAATATGAACTGGCCCCTAGAATATGCTCTTACTTGTCCTATATCCAAATCTGAGCATCTGCTATGTGTCTTCCTTGCCTGACTCCTGATTGTCATAAAGATGCCCTTGTCTCTGCTTTATCAGGTTGCAAAGTGCTCCCTATAGTGCAGAAGTTAACTAATCTTAATCTATGGGCATGCAAATGTGCAGAAGAGACACCTCATTCCTGTCTGATAGCACGAGTTAGAATACTCACCCTTACCAAAGTATAGGAATAGCGTTAGGTAATACTTCTCATTAGGACTGCTGATGTGACAGGGTCCTTGTCATGTTATACACATGGGCTGTGCTCTTGCATTCAAAGCTGTGACAGCAGGCAGAGAAATCCAGTGGCTTACCTGATAATCAACCAAGCTTTCAGCTCCCAGAAATCAGTATTGTTCCACTGGCTCCAGTTAAGTATGCTTGTTTACATCCATCAGGTAGATGTAATTTTGAACTTGTTAATTTGTTGGTTATTAGCTTAATAAAACATGCTGGCACCTGCCATTATCTCTAGAGTCAACAAAAATCCCAGGGCTATTTCCTGTACATTCAATCTGGCATTTAATACAGCTATAACTAGATTTGCAGCTCTGTAAGAACTCGTGTACGGATAATGAACCTTCAGAGAGCTGTACATGGGTGCCAAGTTGTGGTTCACAAGGAATTCAGGGGCATTACACTCAGGGCTGGCTTCACATGCCTTTCAGGCATGATTGGAGAAGAATGTTAAATCCTTTCCTAAATAAGCAAGAGAGAGGGCCCTGGCACAGGGCATCCTCTGACTCCACAGCAATTAGATCTGTATAGCTTTCAGCACTCCATCCCTTTCTAACAGTCTTCTTCCTTCCTAATGAAAGAGAGAAAAGGAAAGCAAAAACACCTGTGGGGCTCAATACTTACAGCACTGTTATCCCCCGTAAATCCAAGTATCTCTGCAGGCTTCAACAGAGAATTAAGGTGGATATTACCAGCTGTGGAGACATTTGGCTTTTGAATTCTTTTCATCAGTCTATTCCTCATGTAACCAAGAAAGATCTCTTTACATCAGCAACATTTAGTTATGAAGCTGTTCTGTAACATGAGTAGCTTTTGTGAGAGGCTACAAGAAAATGTGAAAATGTGAGAAGTCAGAACTGCAGTGTTTGATGGACCTTACTCAAGCTGGAAGTACCACAGCTGGAAACTCAGTTTCTCTGGTAATGAATACAGTGAAAGAATTTCCTATCATCAGCCATTGGTGTCTCCCTTCACTCACCTTGGCAATTGATAAATCATGTACTGTCAGAATGACTTACTGATTCATGAGGTTAAAAGGAAAAAAGTTATTTGTCCAGGACCATGAATCATTACTTTCATTGAATCAATGTGAGCAAGATTACATCAGACCTGATTCTAGCTTAGAAGAGGCTCATTTGTCCTGCACATGCAGAAAAGCATACATGAGTTTTATGTGTCTGAGAACTGGTCCTGGGATACAAAACTGAACCGGTAGTAATTTGCTCTATTTTCAGCTAAAAGTTTCACAAATGTCCATTATTATAGATTGAAACTTCTATAACTCCATACTTGAAATTAGTACAGATGTTATGGGTACAAACTATTTTGAACAGATGGGTAAACTCCAGACAAACAGGGGCCCATATGTCACCTGTACATAAGGCACCTGTTGAAACTGCTCTTTCTGAGAATTGATATTCCCCAGAACTCCCGGATGCCCTGAGATGTTGGTAGGTGGTAGCGAAGAGAAATCTACATGTCCACATAATTGCTAATTTCTTGGTCTTTGGAAGGAACTCAGCCAGTCTGTTCCATGACTCTCCTGGTTGCCAGTGTCATTAAAAGCATCAGGCACCAGAGCAGAGAGATGATGGGTCTCCCACATGCAGACAGTCCCTCTGCTCTGTGTATTGGCCTTGAAATACTACACATCCTCAAGGTATTTTAACATACATGAGACTCCAATTTGTTTATATATTACTTTTCACTACACATTTATGAGCACAAAGTAATTATGCCTTTCCTCTTTCTAGAGAATGAGGAAACTGGAGGCAGAATGTGGTTCATTCAAAATAATCACTCAAGACCTCGGTCAAGATTAGAAGTCTTTAAGGAAAAAACTCAACGGCTCTTCAGGACAAAAAAAAAAAAAAAGAGAGGCTTACTATCTCCAGATGTATTGTGCACTTACATTGCCCTAACTCCTTTAAAAAAATTATTGGCATCTGTGCAAATGAGTTCTGCCTTTATCTATGTAAATTGAGCATTTCCTTTCACTGGTAAATGACAAATTTTCATTAAATGTGTATCTTATATAAGAGATAGCACAAAGTAAAAAAGTTACTACATTATTTTCGTGGCTTTGTATGTAATGCTGCTTGGGATTCATGGGAGGGTAAAATGATGAGACTGAAAAAATCTATTAATTTTTTGGGGGAAAATCACTTCTCTCTGTCTAATCATTTTCATTATCAATCTACACTGTTCATCTTATTTCAGAAGTGATTGAAATGAGCATAATAATCCAAAACAAGTGTCTTTTGTACGTATGATGACACGACAATCTTTTCACATGACTCATCTGGTTTTGTTTCTCATAACACCATGCAAATGGGCGACCTTGGTAGGATCTAGCAACATAATATGCTCAAGCGCTTCAGGATCCTTGTTTGTCAGTGGTGAATTTTTTTAGTCACCTATTCTTGTAGCTTAATTAGCAAGCTGCCTCTGAGAGTTTTCAACCTTCTTTAACCTCTTCTAATCTAGGTGGCAAAATTTATAGAAATAATAGTTTTCTCTCACCCTCCATTCCTTTCTTAGAAGATTAATATTTTAACAATATTGCTACCTTGCCTTCTAATCAGCGACTGAAATTTTAACTGAAGCGTCTCCCAAAAAAGAGGAGACTTGACTGTCATCTATTTGGTCTTTCAAATCCTCCTCACAAATTATAGGGAAGATACCAGATGTTTCTAGATGAGCATTTTGCTCGTTTTTGATCATCAGACGCATCAATCAATGCACCCAATAGCTTTGCCTGTGCTGCAACAACAGCAGATTAATTTGTAATTCTTGTTCCATGCCATACAAAGCAGTCTGGATCTGTGATTACCCGTGACATCACATTAACACGCAGCTTTATTTTCAGCTCCGCTTGCATTAACAACCTTGAAGGCCCATTTGCTCTCTGTGGTCCAGTGGCAAAGAGAAAACCAACTGCCCACACACTGGGGATGCTGTAGCTGGGCTCACTGAGCAGAAGCTCAGAAAAGAAGAGAAAACCTACTCATAATTCAGTGCCTTCAGGTAGTTTTAGGGGGCCAATGATACCCAATCATAAATTTCTCTCCAGCATTATGGTCTAAGGGAAAAATGCCAGCAAAGTTCTCCACATGGAAGAACCCTATAGTGCAGTCTTGGATTTTTCAAGGGGAAAGAGCCTTTCTGTCAGATATATTTTTAGCTAACTGTTAACCATAAAACCTCTAGCATTTACCTATTGCTCAATTTTTTCCTGACACAACAGCATAGAAAATAAGGAGGGGGGAAGCTTCCTGTGTCTCTGCAACTGTCTCCATCATGATAGATTTGGTCTTGGTCATGCAGGGATTGACACAATATATGAGAAATTTTTGAGCCTTATAACTGATGACAGCTCAGGAAAGCAACATCTTTGCTCTTTCAGCTACATCTTCGCACCAACAGAAAAGTAACTTCTATCTTTTAAAATTTCCAGATTCAAATTATCTTTAATTTCTGTGGTGAAAGGGTGAAGAAAATGCTTGTCCAAGATGTTCAAAAAACTCTAAAACTTCCCACCTCAGAGAGACTTGAACAACCTCTGTAACTACTTGTGTGGCTTATTTATGTGTATTATTAGTGTGTATCACACATTGTAACACCAAAGTTTTGTCAGGTTTTTTTCAGTCAGAATGATGGGGAAGGTGTTTTGTTTGGGTTTGGTTTTTTTTATTTTCCCCCAGGAATGGTCAAATTTATCGGAGTTGAAGCCAACATCCAAAAAATGGGCTAAATTTGACCCGTACCCTGAAGCACGGTGAAAAGAGCACAGCTTCTCATCCCCACACTAAGCAGCAGTAATTTGAATTACATTCGTAGAAGTTCTTTTGCCGCCCCATCTCATCATGCGCGGCTCAAGCCGACAGGACAGGGCAGACAGCCAGGGGGACACGGGACGATGAGGGGACGCGGCTGGGGGGACGCGCCCCTTCCCCGCTCACGGCGGCGCCTGATCCTAGCTGTTCCCTCGCCCCCTCGGATTTCGCTCTTTGTCGGCCTCGCGTCTCACCGCACCCCCAATCCCATCCCCAAGCCCTCGCAGCCCGGCGGTCGGAAAGCACCCGCTTCCCGGCGAGGAGGCGACGGCAAGGAAGGGCAGGGGACGTCCTCGGGGACGACGGCAAAGAAACGGGCCACCTCAGCCCACCCACGCTTCCCAGCACCCACGGGCGAGGACTTTCCCCGCGCTGGGAACTGATCGAGCCGAGCACGGCCCCGCGAGGCC